GAGAGAGAGAGAGAGAGCAGGGGTTGTCGAGGAACATGCTGTCCGTAAGTGAGCTGATCAACCAAGCTACTGCAGCTAGAAAGCGCTGTCACAAACTGGCCCCACTACTCTCGTCGGCTGACAAATCCGACCACTTTGTCTATTCCTAATCAGTCTTAGCAGCCTAACAAGGAGGGTTTAGACGTTCTATTTCACTCCCGGCCCTCGACACTCGCAGACCCGTTACAGCTACAGTGGGCTACTAACTGCTCGCCAAGGCGCCGGCGTCACGGGACCCGACAATCGTGCAGGTGCTTGCTGTTGACTTGAAACGTCTTCTCCATACCCATGTCATAAATAAATGAGGCGTGACCAGGAACCGTATAGCTAGATTAGCATCGTAATGATCTAATCAAGGCTAGGGGCTAATCTTGATAGGGCTAAACCCCACGGGGCTGCTTGTTTATGCCAGGTTAATAACTAGCAAATCACCCTAAGTTTACTAAAGGTTACTCTAATTATAGAGTAAAGTACAGTCGGCATTATTAGCTCCGGTGGGAGCTGTAAATCATTTTAAAGGCTTACTACCTATGGTATGATTGCGAAATATGGAAGAAAGAGGGATCTATTCGAAGAGAATTCAACGCCAGCGACAAGAAAGACGAGGACTGGAACCTGCAAAAAGAGTCACTGTTGTCGTCTCTCCTATATGCAGCAGAGTATACGGCTAAGGGGAGAAGTCCAATAAGAAAGTCAACATTAAACCCTGCCGGGGCCGGCGACAGGAGAGCATCCAGGAACAAAATGAGCTATGGGTCAAAAAGCGAGGGGGCCCCACAGTCATCACGTTAAAATCCTGCATGCAATCTGCACCGGCCTTCCTGAATCGCCTTAGGCAGCCACCTGGGTGATCTCCGATGTTGAAGCGACGTGTGAAAATCCGCTCCTTGGCCAAGTTTGACGTTATCTACTACAGTTCATTTATCATTCCGAGACATCCCCATGTAAACAGGGTTAGCATGGTTATGGTGCATGGAATCCCCGGCTGGAGCGTGGCTGGGTTTCAATTGCGCCAACGTGAGCGGGACCATAATTAGGTTTCGCATTTCACAATGTTCCCTCTACCGATATTACCTCATCAGGGGTCCGCGAAGCTC